GGCATAAAAAGCCAGAAAAAAAAAAATATAAAGCTGATGTATATAGTTAACTTTACTTACTTTATTTATTTATGGAGCCTCCACGCAAAAAAGTGATGTATGGCGATTGTGTCACTGGTGGAGGCAGCACAGAGGTAACTGCTGATAACAACAGTTTATAAAAGCTCTTATCGGCAGCCCAACTGATTAATTGGTCGACCTCTACTACATAATCTTAAAGACAGAACTTCTCCTTTAAGCTGTGTTTTTATTCATTCAAATATACACAATCTGTAGGTCTTTTAGTTAGCAGGATCCCTAAATTCTATCATTTAACATAGAAAGATGTGCAACCAACTGGGTCATTATTAATGAGTCCTAACAATTACCCAATTTGTGTGTGTTTGTCTAATTTCCTGTAGCTGTAAATGTCAAGTGTTGTCTTTGACTGTGCTGACCTAGATGAAACCTGCAAATGAATGTCGTGCATTGAAAGGCTTCTTCGTGGAAGTAGGTTGCAGTGAGAGGAACTTTTGCCTCAGCTATAACACTACAGGGAGCTTGCTATATTTATGATGGTGCAGAGAGGCTCCATAATTGTCTTTCGCTGTGCCTATTCTGCCAGATGCATGTACAAAAGCATCACAGTTGGTTCCCTGGCAATGAGTCAAAGCAGCACAGTTTCACTTAACTTTTTACCTGCAGTTGTGACTGAGCAGAGGGGCTGAAGTTTAGTTTAAAGCCATACATTTGCTTTATGTGTTACCCCTCATACGCCATGCCAGTAGCAGGTTTGTCAGTATTTCAGGGACCACCTAGGATGAAATCTTTTCTCTTAGCACCACTTTCTTTCTGCTCTGGACTGTTCAAACAGGCTGACCTCGGTTGTCCACAAATGGTAGAATTTTACTGAAAAAAGATCCATGTTTAGCTTAGTTTGACCCTAATTCAAACAAAGGTTGTTTGATTGTTTGACAGTGGGGTTTGTGATTGATCAAGAGAAACGGGATTTCTCGTAACACAACATATCTGTGTGGTGGAGTTCTGTGGAAGGAAGATAGGTTAAGTTGTCAGATTTCTCAATTTCGGCAACTGTAAAAACATCCAACAAAAGCAAAGTAAATTCCACCCAACGCGACACAGCTGTGGTATGGTAGTTATGGACAGGAGAAAAATAAAGTAGCAGAATTTGGCATGTGAACTTTGAGTGATCGCCATGTGGCTGAAGCCCTCTCAGAGAGGAACAGGGCTGTTGGCAGACCTAATGACAGCTTGTTTTCACTGGCCTTTCACTGTGGACAGAATGGGGAGAGGGAGGACAGGGGATGGAGAGAAAAAGAAAATAACAGTGATGTAGAGCACAAAAGAAATAGAAAGGCAAGCAGAGAGAGAAAACAGAGAAAGCATATGATAAAAGAAGAGGTTAAAAAAAATTGGTGAGAGAAGGACTGGGGAGGGGGGGCTCAGTATCTCTGGGTAGAGCTTGTTCACCCGCAGAGCCAGCCGAGGTGCGCCTGAGAAGCCTGGCTCCCTGATTGGTGGAGCGCGATGCAGCTCTCTCCCCTCCCCCCGTGAAGAAAGAGGTGCAGCAGGAACGTCAGACCCAGACAGCACAAGACTCGGCTACTGAAACAACGTTTTTCTGAAGCTCTCCCTAAGATGCAGTCTACAGAGCATCTAAGGACAGACTAGATGATAGCACAGAGCTGATCTCATACAGCAAAGAGTCTCTTACTATTGGGCTTGATTATTTATCAATCAGATTAGATTTGAGTCGATTTTCAGTGGTTTACCAGTAAGACCAGCTAGAGAAGGCAAAGCTGACGTCTAGCGCAGTTCGATTCACTGCATTGAGAAGGACGGCCGCCGGTCACCATGGGCAGGCAGGGGCATGACACCTCTGCTGCAGCTCCTGGGATGCGTATCCAGCGCTCCCAGAGCAAGATGAGCCTGTCTGCATCGTTTGAAGCACTGGCTGTCTATTTCCCCTGCATGAACTCCTTCGATGAGGAGGACGGAGGTAAGATGACATGCAGGAAAGCGTCACAGCAGCAGCAGTTGGCTGGGGGGCAGCAGAGGGAAGAGATGGATTTAGGATTAGTGGGAAGATGCAGAGGTATTGATAAGGAAAATTGGGGCAGGTTAAGAGATGTAATTTAATTAGGATGGCCGTGTAGTTTAATTAGGATAGTAACATGATGCTTGAGCTGTGTGTTCTGTGTTGAAAGTTCTATGCCTCAAGAATAGTCAGTTCATCATTCAGGCTATGAATTTGTTATGGAGCACACATACTGCTTTCAACAGTGGTGGTGGTGTTCATGGTTAAACTGACTGTTTCTTTATTCTTTAAATCTGACTCAGGGAATGAAAACAAAGGATTTAGTAACTGGCATGAATCATTGTTTAGTATCTTGTGGGTGGTAGTGTTTATTTATCTTAGGATTACTACATCGCTCTATGACTGTCGCTTCAAATTTCCTCAACAGTAGTGATGATGACTACTGCATGTGTTTATATTTACGCCTCCCAAGATTTTCTTATAATGTTCTATTTTAGTGGCAATGGATCCATGGACAGAGAAAAAGAATACGTCATTCATTTGTTACGCAGAAGATTTACTCCTTTATACCTTTACTTATCTACATATTTTTGCCTGATCGCACCAGCTTTTTTTAGCCACAGCTTCACACACACTTGTAGTCACACTTCCACTGTTGGCCGCTGAGCAGCTCCACTCTGGCCAAGGCCGAGATTTGAGGGCAGTGACCTGGTGCCGAGCCAGTTTGTCAAACTTTTAGGCCACTGCTGCTTCATGCTTGACAGATACTTGGCTGCCACATTCTCCAACCAGTGATGATAATGCTCCTGTCTTTGGCATATTGACCTTATCTGTCATTGCTTTATACTGTATGTGTGTGATTTATATGTATGTGAACAGGATTTTGGAGTCATGGTCTTTAAAGTCTAAGCCATAGTGTGTTCATGGATCAATCTATTGCAAAAATGTCATGTAAGGTATTATTTTATAAGGTCGCAGATTTATCGATGTCATAGTAAGGATGTATCCGTGACTTTAATCAGCAGCATAAATGCAAACATATGCATCACATAATTTGTGCAACAAAATGGGAAAACTGATTTCCCTTGCTTGCAAGGTGTGTTTTCAATGGTGATTGATAACATCCGGCCACTGAATGGCAGAGGAGGTCTATGAGCTGCGGATTGCTGTAGACGTCAGAGACGACCTCTGTGGCTTTGTGTGAAGAGCAGGAAGAGGAGGCGGAGGCCGCCAGCTGAATAACTGAGATTTCAAGGCTGAGAGGCTTCACGCCTGTGTATGCCTGTAGGAGATAGGACACAGGACCATCTCTTTTCTCTTCCCCTACAAGACAAGGCAGGAGAGAGGAGGGAGAGTGAAGACAGCAGGCCCCACAAAAGGCCTGTAATGATGCTGGATTAAATTATTACCAACAAACTGGGAAATTATTAAGTGAAAGTTACAGTAAGGTCAATGGATAGCTGATTGTTTCATGACTTTACACCTCGGGGTTGCAAATGGCGAGCTGTCGGTAACTCATTATTACTTTCGTCTGGCTTTGTGGTGATTATATGACCTCTGGGAAATAACACGACGCCTTAATTTTGCATTAATTTGATTACGGATAAGAAAAAAAGAACATTGCATAACTAAAATATGTGCAACAAAATTTAGTAATGCTTGGATGGATTAGCGTTTGACTATAGCCATGCACTATTTAATGTTTTTTGAGATTATAGATATATTTCAGGTGCTAACATACTAGTTTAAAAGAACTAAATGGCTGTTGTTAAGTATTGTGATTTTATTTTAAGCTCCTGAGCATCTTTGCTATATGGTGTGGTAACTCTCTAAAGTGAATTTGCTAGCTTCTTTTCTTAACAGGATCAAAAAATGAAACATAGTACTGATGGTGGGTGTGTGTGTGTGTGTGCTGGTTGCCAGGCGTGTGTCTGGTGGTGAAGCATTCATACTGTTGTGTAGGTATGTGTACGACAGGCGCAGCCACGTGGCCCTGCACGTATGCTGTCAGGGAGGCTGGGTGAAGATGAGCAGCGGCAGGAGGGCTAATGGGGGCAGTCAGCTGTCGTCTTGGATCAGTTAGGATGGGAGGCAGACGCTGGATGTTTATAGGTGGAGCATGGACTCAGTAAGGCTCCCACAAGACCTCCGTAGGCAGTCGGTAGCACAGACCAGAGGAGAGCTGTGCATGTTGTTCAACTGATACACAAAGAGCCATCATTCTGTAGAGCCTGTTTGATTGTCACAGTGAAATTGCAGCGATCCTTCCCACAATAAGCTATACTCATGTCTTAGTATGGAGATACATTTCCATTCATAAAGTTGTCTTTGTGAATCGTTTTCTATGAGCCAATGAAAGCACAGGTATGTCAGTAATAGTCCATGTAAAACTCGCTGAATGAGTCACAAAGTAATTCAGAGTCATAGACTGACAGTCTTTCCCTCTCTCCCTCTCTCCTCCTTTGCGTGTGCCATTGTGCGTGCAGAAGCGGGAGGTAAGAAGTTACGCAGCACGATCCAGAGGAGTACAGAGACGGGCCTGGCGGTGGAGATGAGGAGCAGGATGACTCGGCAGGCCAGCCGGGAGTCCACAGACGGCAGCATGAACAGCTACAGCTCCGAGGGAAAGTAAGGAGACAGTTTGTACATACACAACAAACTCTGAAAACTCCATAATATTACTCATATTAGGCCTCACTCTGCCTAATCCTGGTGACATTTCATAAGCTACAGCTTTGTCTTATATCAGCAACTGCTCCTTTCGTCTCCGTGGTAACCAGTGTGTCTTTCTCTGTTTCAGTCTTATCTTCCCCGGTGTGAGGCTCTCCTCAGATGCCCAGTTCAGTGACTTCCTGGATGGTCTCGGCCCCGCCCAGCTGGTCGGACGACAGACGTTGGCTACTCCACCTATGGGTGAGGGCAACAATCCCTTTAATCAATTTATTTACACAGTAGCTTGGAAATGTTAGTAAAGCAGAATCAATCATCTTGTGAAACATACATGATTTAACATATATATATTATACTTTATATACTGATAAATATCAAGTCAGTCGTGTGCTAAAAGTTGACTTTTTGTTACTCAGGTGACATTCAGATCGGTATGGTGGACAAGAAAGGAGCACTGGAGGTGGAGATCATCAGAGCCCGTAGCCTTGTGGGAAAACCAGGTTCCAAGGCACTGCCAGGTAATTTAAGCTCATTGTCAAAGCCAATTACACACTTATCTCATCAAGTCTAAGTAAATGTTGATATATGATGAATAAAAAGGATGAAAATACATGTTTCTGTTGGATAAGTATAAATATTCTCGCCTCTCCTCTCTTCTCAGCACCATATGTAAAGGTCTACCTTTTGGAAAATGGAGTTTGCATAGCCAAAAAGAAAACAAAAGTAGCAAGAAAAACCTTGGATCCTCTTTACCAGCAGCAACTGCCGTTTGAGGAGAGTCCGGGAGGGAAGGTTTTACAGGTAAGAGAAGTCTCACAGTAATTAAACAGAAATTCAGAATCAATCTTATTTAAACAACTTTACTTCTCGCTGTTTAAATTTGTCTCTTCCTTTTGATTAATTTCTTTTTCTGCATTGTTCTCCGCAGGTCATTGTTTGGGGCGACTATGGACGTATGGACCATAAATCATTCATGGGAGCAGTTCAGATACTGTTAGATGAGCTGGACCTGTCCAACATGGTGATTGGCTGGTTTAAGCTCTTTCCTCCTTCCTCACTGGTGGACCCTACTCTGGCCCCACTGACAAGAAGAGCTTCCCAATCCTCTCTGGACAGTTTCTCTCGATCATAGCAGCGTGTGGACTGATAGCGTTGTTGTAGCAGCCAGTGTTGCGATTACAGGTCACGCCCCCCGGTTACACTGCATGCTTGATGTTGTGTCTTCTGAGCCTGTTTCTAGGGGTGCAAACGTGATCCTGTGTTTTAAGCAAAAACGTCGCACACATTGTGCACGTGGCGAAGCGTGTTACAAGCGCCTGGCGGCCGGGATTGCCGGGTGTTGTTGTTGTTGTTTGGAGGAAGCTGGAATGAACTCCTTAGCACGAGGAATCTGTCAGTTCCAGGTTTTCATCCAATTCGAAGCCATGGGGGTCAGTACTGGGAACCGCTAAAAGAGTTCTACAGAAGCCCTTTTCGAATGAAAAATAAATGTTTTGCTTTGATTATTTTTTTTTGTTTTTATTTTCATTTATTTTCTTTTTTTTTCTTTTAATGTCAATGTACTTGTATCTGAAAGGGGAGACAATGTTTCTAACCAGATGCTTGGTCACGCCACGCCAACAGACCTAGCTGTGTAGATGGAGTTTTGGAGACCATCACTTTGGGTGAGGTGTGTCCCAGCTTGTATCCACACTCCCCCCCACCCCCAAAAAAAGAAAAAAAAATGCCCCCATACTCTATGGTTTATGTACTGAATCAAACCGTACTGGTAAACCACCGGAAAGACTTCAAAGTTAATCAGAGGCAATACTGAAGTGGCTAAGATCAACACTCCAGAATATACAGTAACGATCCCAACCCCATGAAAAGATGTACAATCTACCATCATTATTTCTCTGTTGATATATTGTATGAAAATTAAATGAGAATTTTTTTTTTCCTTTTTAGTTCATTTGCATGGACACAAATTTAGCTGAATTAAAAAAAGAAAAGAAAATTATTTTCTTGAGGCTGCAACTTGCAAAAAAGATGAAGAAAAATAAATAAAACAGATCAGCCATTTTCAACAATTTATATTATTTTTAAAGATAAATTTCACTAGTGCATGGTTTTCAAGGGGAGTGAATGCAACATCATGATTAAAAAAAAGACATTGTTTATCATTCTTTAGACCATTCATGAGTCTGTGTTTTGCAGACATGCAGATAAGGGAAACTTAAAGGAAACTTTTGGAGTTATTTAACAGAAAATGTTTATGTGACAAAAAGTGATAATGAGAATAAATGTAAATTATTTATTTCATTGTAAAAGGCACACGCCTTATGAAGATAAACATTATGTGCAAATTGTACATGTTTCTCTTTTTTTTCCTTGTCCCAGGGTACTTCTCATTGTACTATTCATTGCTACCATTGTTCAGTCCCCTGATATTGTCCAGATTTTAGGACTGTTGGTTATTTTACAGTTCTGTATTGTTTCAGTATGTATTTTATTTTGGATTTGATTTGTTTAACAAGCATGTTGAAAAGGATTTTCTGCAACATGGCTTGGGCACACCTTACAGTAACTCAGCATGTTTTGATAAAGATGATATTTGGAATTTTTGCAGTTTCTTGTACAGTGCATGTCAACTTCATTACGTTTCTCCCTCACCTTAAATTGAACTCTACAGCAAATTAGTTCTTGGTCTTCCACGGCCAATTATTGAAGTTTTAACAAAAACATTCCACCCCAAGGTCATATTTTCTTTCAGGTTTTTGAGAAAAAAAAAAGTGACAAGGAAAATATTTTATATTTAATGGAGGTTGACGAAACAGTTGTGATTGCAAGTGTATTTTATTTCAGTATTGTTGACGAACATGCAAAAATAATCTGTATTGGTACAGCAAGAAGTCTATACCTAATCAAGAGGCAGCAAAGATGCAAGAGATGTATGTTGCTGTGGTTCAATTTTACAGGCACTGTTTGTGAAGATGAGCTAATCACAAGTTCAAATAACAAGGGATATTGCCACAGAAAATGTTTTTTTCTTGTTTTAATGAAAATGAAATTAATTTACTATATTTTTGTTAGTTTTATTTAAAAGCCAAGACCAGTTTATTTTTTATTTTCTATTTTTAGTAATTATAAATACTTCTCATGTCTGGGAAGTATATGAATCTTATAGTTGCAGTATGTCTGAATGAAATTGAATTGAGGCATTATTCCTTTTCCATGACGATAAAGCGTTTTAATGTCCAAGAAAACCTTGTCGCTGTAACAAGCTACAGTATATATTTTCATTTTCATTTTCATTGTACATACCTTTAGATGTCAGAATTTGAATAAACATGCTACCATGAATAGATTGATAGACTCTTTTGGAACAGGAAAAATGCCTCACATGATGACAAAGACATATGTTATTTATCCTTTTGAATGCCTTTTAATTTTCTCTTTTTGGTGCAATGTGTTAATGCCAAGGCTATGTCTTGGTTAAGTATGGTTGAGTACAGAGATTTATGTAAGTTATTTTTCAAATTAAAAATAAAAAATTGATATTACACTGATGTCAAGTGTTGGGTGATGATAAGATTAACACATACCCACACACACACATACGCACACACACACGAGTGTAACATGCAGTATGTAACTGTTAAAGGGATACTCCAGCAATTTAGTATTAGTAAAAGATACATTAGGAAAAAAAGAAGAGTTAAAATCAATACAGCATAGGTTGAGAAATCCTGACTATTTGTCCCTAGTATGGGTCAAAACGCTGGATCCTACAACTCCCATAATGCAACCAATAGCATCTTTTCTCCCCTGCCAGGTAAACACCGACATCAATGTAGGCCAACTCCCTTTAATGAGTAAATTGGACCCCTTTAATGGAAAATGTAAGTAAGTTAAGTGTGTCAGCAGCATGCAAACATGCTGATGGGACTGTCACTAGCTTTGTGTGTATTTAATAAACTAAAGTATCGGACACATTGAAACTCTGACCTGACGCTAGATGAAAAGCCAGGGAATAACCAAAGTAATTACAATTCATCCAGATGGGGACATGTATGTACACAATTTGATGGCATTTAGTAGATAGACTTTAGAAATATTTCAGTCTGAACCAAAGTGTTGGACAGACAGATTGACAGACAGCTAGCATGGCTTACTGTAACAAGTAACCCTCAGTGTTTACCTTAGGTAATTTGTGTTAAAATTATAAAGCAACATAAAAGATTCTCAGTTTGAAGCTTTTCACTCTTTCACTTAGTTTAAGTCACTGTATGCCAGTTTCACAGACCACTCAAAAACCTACACTCTGACGCTTTTCAAGCTGCTGACGTCAAGACCCTGCTATCAACAAATTATTATTTCTCTGTTCAAAGTTTCCTGTCTGAATCATTTGAAAGCAGAGCTCAACCTTGCATATTATAGTGCAATTAAATAACTTGGCATACAATATGACCAATGACCTTAAAAATCCTAACCCTGATGTTTCCTGTTATTGTGAACAGGAGTCTACTGTCACATACTCCTTTTAAAGCTTTTGAATGTGAAACTTTGGAATGTCTTAAGGTGTAGCCTATACACCAAGTAGTCTGAACTTTTTCACAACATTAGTGGCCAGTATCTGTAACCTTGCAGTCCTCAATAAAATACTTGATTTTTACACCAAAAAGCACAGGTCTCACACACTGACCTCATATTCGCTTCTGTGCGCTTCTGCTTTTGGTTGAAAATAGGGATGACTGTGAAATGACGAATGACTGAGGTTTGAGGGGACGGAAGAGTTCCTGTTTTAGCCGTATTTAAGAGACTGCAAACAACAAGTTAGACTGACTACAGAGATGTATGTAGACTATCTCTGAAGCAACCATTTAACAGTTACAAACAACCTCTATACGGCAGGTTTGTACTTTTAATGTTCACATATACAGCATTTTGACATTCAAATACTGTATATCTCTTGCAATTTATTTTCCTCCTTTATTTCAGTGTGGCTGGTGCACTCCAGTGTTGGGTCCCTCAGGATGCTACTCTCATTGACTGCAATAAAACAGAGCCTCAAGGATATGGGTTATCTTGCTGTGGATGTTTTTACAACCGGTAACAGGAATGGCTTTCATAGAAGTCTCATCCTCCTGTTCAGCTGTAGCTTTTCTAGCCTCCTGCTCAGCTCCCTGCTCCTCCTATACCTCCTCTTCACCCTGAACTATGAGCTAGCAGTGGCTGGAGGGATTGCTGGCTGCTTTGGGACACTACTGACAGTTGCCCTCTTCCTGTCAAAGAAAGTAAGGTGTTTGGGGACTCTATTTGTGATCTCTATTTTCATGAAGAAGAGTCGGAACCTGCTCCTGACCGCTGGGACCAGTTTAGTGGTTCTTAGAAACATCCGCAACACCTTGGAGAACCTCACAGGACTGGTCAGGAGTATGATTTGCAACCTGAAGGCGAAAAAAGCAGCCATCATTGCTCCATTCAGCAACTATGTGAAGATGTTGAAGTGGCTAGGGAACATGCTCAAGGGGGTTACAGACTTAGGGGTTTTAAACCTTGACTCTCAACTCAAGGTTTCACACAGGCTGGAATCTGAACAATTCAGGGAGAGGCTCACTGAAGCAGAGCAAAAGCTGAATGAAACTGTAAAGTATGTACAGTCCATTATGAATACAGTCTCCTCTGCGACCGACACGCTGTTTCCTGCCATCAGCTTCCTTGTGCTCATGATGTTTATAGCGCTGCACATAAAAAGATTCTGCAATAACATGAAATACGAAAACCGGTTCATCAGCAGCAAATTTGTTCGTTTTGATGAGAAGCAGAAGGCGGAAGGAAAGCCCCATGTCCTCCCCCTCACACCAGAGGAAGAGAAGCTGTACACTACCGTCCCCTCCACCCGTCCCACCACCAGAGAAGGGAGAGCTATGCTGAAATTTGGCGTTCCAGTTGTCTCCCATGTTGTATCTTGGGTCCTATTTATAACTGTGGATGCCTTATTGTACTGTTTTGTTGACATTGTAACAACAAAGTTATCAGAGCTGGAACCATTCCATGTCCCACTGTTAATGAGCATCACAGTAAGTATATTTGTGAAAGACCCGCTGCTACCTGTCCAATACTTGTCCAGCCACTGAATGCTAATTTATTTATCTTCTCAGGGGATTGCAACTTTAATTGGTATACCATTTGGCGAGGAAAACCATCAAAAAGACTTTTCCTACTCTGTGACCCTATTTGAGAAGAAGTGTCTTCCTAAACCCAAGCTGCTGCTCTATAACTCTGTAGTTCCTTTGGCTGCAATCCTACTCACCCTGCTCATTATGGCTCTGATAGCTGCCAAAGTGGCCCAGCTCAGGCTGATGGTCTGTGAGCAATTCTTCTCCAACACTGCAGAGGCCAGAGTGGAATACCTGCACGCAAAAATCCTAAGGAAGAGATTAAAAAGGAGGATTTGCCACCACCTCACATCACTCTATTATAAGGTGTGCATTACTGAATATCACTAGTAAAGTGCATAAATCTGTGTGTATAATGCATAAGAGTGACATTTTATTTTTAAAAGTATTTTGTTTTCTCTTTTTAGCCACACTTCTGGTGCCCTCTGCTCTTCAGGCCCAAAGAGAATCCACAAAGTGTTGTCTGAGGAATATATTCTTTCTGCTGCATGATTTACATTACAAACACAAGTAAGTAAGAAAGAACAGTTTTGACAAATGGATTATATACGGTCCCATGAAAGCATCATGTACATTCTTAATTTAACATTACCTCTATACAGCTATACAGTTTGTGTAAGATCAAACAATTACAGGTCAAATCTACGTACTGCAGGGCACCACTTTGTACCTCTCTGGAAGAAAATAGTGTCTTCAGCTACATCAGTCAGGCTTTAGAACTGGTCCAGTAACCGCTGAAGCTCTTGTTGTGGATAATGCAACATTGTTTTTAGATCTGATTTGATAGTGTTGAACATAATAATCTGTTACATTAGCTGCTTATTTTTGATAAATCTGCCAACAGCTAGTTCAAATCAGATCTTTCTGGTAGAGTACAGACTGTTTTTGTAGATGGTTTCAAGTCAAGTCCCCAGATGGTTGATAAAGGTGTCCCGAATGAATAGGCCTTGTACTATTTACTCCACATTGTACATAAAAATTATTACTTTTCCAAATGAACATGGAAAATTATTATGCAGATGATACAACTTATTTTTTTACACCATGCCACTACCTCCAGCTGTGACCTGTGCAATGTTCCACATCAATCACACCTGTATATAAAAAGCTGTATATAGTGTACATAAAACTCTTATTCTATTTTTTATATTTTCAGAAAAAAAAATCTTGTATTTATTCTATTCTATGTTTTATTTAATGTATATTTTAATGTGTATCTGTGTAATCTGTGGCTGTGTTTTATCAGGAGCAGCTGAATGAGTGAATTTCACCAGTGTGAAATCAATAAAGTTTATCATAACTTATCTTATTTTCCAGTCGGCTCTAGGTTACAGTCTGCTTTTTACCAGACCTCTTTTATTAATTGAAAGCTTGTTCTAAACTCCCCAAAAATTAAATGTATGCATCTCCCAGGAGCACAACACTACTGTGCTACAAATAATAGAAATTGAACAGATACAGCATACAGCACTTTTTTCCAGTTTTAAAAGAGGAAACCATTACACTATTCACTGTGTTATCTACACTGTATTATGGAGATATTCTGTCTTCAAATTGAACAATCAGATTAGATCAGAAATCAATAGATTTAAAGGTTCCCCATACCAACTTTGCACCTTACAACTGGCACAAACTGAAAAACAACAGGGATTTTAAACTTCTACTTGAACTAATATTTGTGACTGTTTTATTGTATGTGTGTTTGTTACCGAATTGTCCTGTGATGATGTATAAATGCTTTTTTAAATTTTCTATATTACATTTCATGAGATATTTTTTAACAATAAATATGTGCCTGCAGTATATCAGTGATATTCATCAGCATGCTATAGTAGTTTATTAAGTTATATCATGTTACATAACAGGTCAGTCTGCTAATTGACCATAATGATTCCTGTTAACCATGGAAAATGGTTGGTAGTAGTAATTTATAATAGCCAACCAATATATCAAGAAATTATAATTCAATTCAGTTTAGCCTCAATGAACACTCAGCAACTAGAAATTTCCTTTTTTCTTGTCAGACATACATCATATTACATCATGTTCATTATATAACAAGGCAGATGACAGTATTCTATGATGAATCTACCCAAACACTGAGCGTAATCCATGAACAGGATATACTAAGCAAATATTCACAGTATATAATATCCCCTATAAAAGTTCTTGTTGGAGGCATTTAAATAAACTACTTGTGCGTTTTATTTTACATTATACCTCAATTTTAGGTTTACAATTATGGATTCCTGATAAGTAGCAGTGGATCCTATTTTTCTACTGTATTTGTCTTAGAGCACCAAACAGCTTCTTGTAAGCTAAACTACAGAGGCAGGCTTCTGTATTTTACCTCCATGTATAATGCTTCCCTGCAGAGTGTAGAAGAGCGATATTTGCTTACATAATCTAAGACAGATGTCCCCTACATGTGCAGTGAACAGCGCTGTCCTCTTTCCACTTATGCACTGTCACTGTTCATTAACATCTCACAGGTGTTGGAAAGGATTTTTCTAACCTTGTCGCACTGTTTTTCTTACTTTCTGAACATGCTCTTTTTTCAGTTCCTTCACATTAGTTTTCCATCGACTGACTTCAAAATGCAAAATGTTTGATATATATTTTTTTAATTCCATCAGTCTAAAATTATTGTTGTTTATTCTTGTTGTATCGGATCAGAGTTTTACCAAAGTGTTATTTCTTATTTGAATTAAATTAAATTCAGTGGAGGACAATGATTAAAAAAAATTCTTATTGAGAACCTAAAATGAATAATTTGTCTGAGTTTAGATTGTAGCATCCTGAGGTAAGGTGTAGGTGAAATCTCCCAGCATGCTCCAGGGCAACATACTCTATTTTGTGTGTTCCTGCATTGTTACTAGTGTTATTGTGCTTTACATTACAAGGTCTCCACTGCTTCCACAATTCTATAGCAGTTATACAATTAGTTACTGAGAGTGAATGCAGTTAAGCCATGAACAATGTGCATGATTGGTGACGTGCTTCCCAATGTAAGTTCATTGTATTACACTTCAGGTTGAAGGCCTGTTTCATCAGTCAGCACATTGAAAATTGGTCTACAAAAAATGGAATTATGTTGATTCAGTATGATTACTTAAACTTTATTCCATTAACAAATGTAATTAACATTTAAAAAACTACAATTCTATAATAGACATATTTCACCATTTTCACACGGTCTCGATTGTAAAATTCCACACCGCCTGCCCCACACCATCCCTTCCATTGTCAGAGGAAAGAGGAAGGAAGTGGTTCAGCTCAAGGATGAGTAGGCCTTCTGTGACTCACACACTGCCACTGACCCGTGTGGCAACCTGATAAGCTCACATTATGTCTCAACTAGCCCTGTGGCATAATACCACGCCAGCATGGCAGCCCAATGGGAAGCTGCCACATGATGCTGGGTGACAGCCACAGACCTTTTTACCATGGGAAGGAATGAATGCAGTCCATACATGGGCATAGATGGTGTGCATATGATAATGTGTGATCCTGCTGAATATGCAAATACCGAGTCAATCTGGGTCAACAAAGTAAATCTTAATACTTGTGTCACTGCATTGTAATGAATATCTCATCAGAGTTAAGGGTGCTTTTGGGTGAGAAACATCAGTCATGTTACCAATGGCAACAAACATTTAGAAAAATAGAAATTTTAAATATTTTGTAATATGTTGTGTGTCAATATAAAAGTCAATATAAAAATGATAAAAGATCTTCTTTTCTACATTTGTTTTAACCATGGAAACATGCATAGATTGCATATTGTATGTTAGAGCAAATAAAATTTCCAGCAGCACAGTGGGTTCTACTGACCTGTGTACCGAGCAGAGCTGACCTGGAAACCACACACAGTTGAACAAATATAACAAAGGTATTATCTGCCAACAGTACATTAACCTTGGTGTTGATCAGAGTTGACCTAAAGATCATAGCCGTTTTTATTGCATACAGGGATTTAAATGATTGAATAATATATGCATGACAAACAGAAATTCGTTAAAACAGTCACATGTAGAAGGTATCTTCTGGATCGTACTGGAGACACACAGCTGGAGATTGAAGGTGCCTTTCATGTTCTGGGTCAGTTCTTTATACAGAAATGACTTTGCCTTCATAGGGCTTTCTGATCACAGCTATAGGTTTCCCCACCTGCAGGCCAAATACAAAGCAAAAATAAGGCTTAAGTGAACTCTGTGTACAGTACCTCATCAGGATCTAGTTTCTTTAAGTTCAACATAAATCCGAATTTTAGCCCTGATTAACACAAAGGCAGTCTTTAGGTGTTTCATGTATGCTTTATGGGATGCTTTATGAACAACAAGTGTCAGGTCTTCATATGAACCTAGAGCCAGCAACGGTTAGCTTAGCTTAGCTTATTGTTTTGGTCACTTGGGGGGCAGCAGAAACAAGTTGTGAACACTGACATACCTGTATATAGTGTATAGTTATTTCACTGAAAACAGCTGCCTGCCTTTGGCTAAAAATTACTTCATCAGAGTTAACTAAAACAGTACCGTTTCAGCCGGAAAACCAAAAAAATAAGCTGAAAGATGCTAAATAAGAGCTGTAGAGTTATGGGGAAATGTAGGTTTGTCATTATGAGCAACTTATTTCACATTACACATTTTAAAAATTGATTAAAATATGAATTATATAGATTATAACAGTATAAATAAATATTGCACACACTATCAATACTGCATATTGTTTGACTATCTTAAAAATCACACAAAATGTGTTGAGTTTTATGCACCAAATACCAAATAGGGAGTGATTTCTGACACACACTTGGAGCACATGGGGGACCAGAGTGCAGTTGTAACATTTCACTAATTGAGGTGTTATTTAATGAAATTCGTGGGGCTTGACTGACCTGATCCCTTTGCTTGATTCTTTTGTAAACAAATTCAGAGAAGGGTTTTCTGTGGATGAATTTTCCATGCCCTGGTGACACCGTTAACCGCCCCTGCTCATAGACCACTTTGCCTCCAGAGATGGTGATGACGGGGACGCCGTGGCACTCCATGCCCTCGAAGATGTTGTAGTCCACAGCCTGGTGGTGGGTCTTGGCCGATATCTTCCTACCAAGACACAAAAATACAACTACAGGTTTGCAAACAGCTACTTAGAACTAGTTTAGAACAAAATTACTTCATCACATCTAGCCTTTGTGATAAGTGAGGCAATCACTGCATGCTTTCTGAATACCAAGCTGAAAAAAGAAAACATAGACCGATTGTGAATCCTTAATGCCCCCATTCTAATCTGAAACTGATTGAATCAGGCCAAGATGTACTTGTACACAGCACTGAGTTACAGCGGCTCACTTACTTTGCAGCAACACGCAATATAATATAATGTATTATTTACAATGTTTGCTCATGTGATGCTCTCCTCTCTAAAAAAGCTGGAGTGAAATGCTGAATACGAATGAATAAGAGACTCAGGACAGGCACCAATTTCAAGTCTTCACCCAAACAGATTTAGCATGGCTGCAATGGAGTGTATTGGCTAAAATGATTAAAATACTTTAAATGATTTATCTAAAAGCACTCAAGGTAAATGTATCTCTGGCAGGAAAAGCTTTATTCAAGATTTATGTAAAACTCATAATTCAATACTCTTTCTTGTACTGTACTGTACTGTACTGTACTGTACTATGCTACTGCTATCTGCCCCCAACTACATTTGTACTTTATTTGAGTATTCGTATGCTACCTATACTTCTACTCATTCTACTACAGCTATAGATTCTAGTTATCTCGCATAATAAGAGTGTACATGCAAGACATATTGTTAGAGAACAAACTACCACACCATATATATACACAGTACGTTGGTCCCTCCAACTTGAACCACAACAATAAAATTCTGCTCATTAATCTACCACTCACAGGGTCATTTGCCTGCATAACAGCATGTACAGTGTACTTTTGTCCCTAGCAGATACAGGGCAACATTAGCAATTCTTTAGAATCAGTTAAGTTTCTGTCCACCTGACAAATCTAAGTCTAATATTTACTCTCCTTTTAGCTTAGATTTTTGGTCTCCACTATCTAAATATTCTGCTGCAAGATGCTGCACAATGTTTTCTAGCTACCTAGCTACTTTGTCTGTCCGTCTGGGCAGGTAGAGTACAGTGGGTTTTTAAAGCCATTTTGCTGAAAACAGCTGTCTGCACTGGCCAAAAACGACACTAAGAGCAAGAAACTGTGAAGTTACGGACCATAAACCAAAACACTGAAAGACACAAAAACGTTCTGTGGAGCTGATTGATTACAGCTGCTTTAGGTAAAGAACCTATGTACGGTACTTCCACCCCGGAATGTACTAGTGTAATAGTAGTAGTAGTAAGAACTTAATGCAGTTTCAAGCACATTCCCATTGGGGTGGTTGAAGGGCTTTCTGGAAAATGTAGAGAATCTATTAGAGAGAAAGCCAATTACAACACTTCACAGTAAAATAATTAAATGCTCTGCACAGTACAGATTGATGATGTCTAACCAATAAACCATATCTGAGTGAAAAGACTAAATCAGCTGGAAACAGTGAAATAAGTCTGACTCAGCCGGTTCCCTGAAACACATTGAATGTCTTTTTCTTTTTTTTGCGAGCCCTCTTTTACCCCCCCTTCACACATGCACATTTCCTGTTGATTTGTAAAGCCAGACACCATGCCTAGCGTGCACCGACAAAAACAAGATGTGTCCTCATTATTCAAGTAGCCTAATTATGAGACACAAGGCAATTGACTGAGCTTCCTAGGCGTTTCTGGTTATGCAACTGTTTGTGGCCCCTGGTCCCCGGATGTTATGAAGCGACACATACGCTGAGGGCAATTAATTACACAGTTTCACAGATGAGTTCACGGCTGCAGCAATCAAACATGAGGCGCTCTCATGCTTGAAAGGCATTATAACATCCGCAGACATGCACACAGGGTAAAGACAGGATACAGTAGAACACACCGGTGATGTCCGAGGACGAGAGGATCAAAACAATGTAAACTCCTCCGCGGTCAGAGGTGTGAAGGTATCAGGTCTCACACAAGCTTTCTCGATGTTACCAGTGAATTCATTTACAGCAAATTACACTGGGGTGTAATGTGTTCTCCAATTCACATCAGCGGTTAGTGACTTCCCTGAGGGGCTCAGCCCAGATTCTCCAGTTAACAGAGCAGTGCAGTGGCATTCTGGGTTATATAAGCCGGAGTGTGCTACAGTACGCAAGCTACTGGAATGCAAACTGTCCTCTGTGCCTGCATCTGTGCATGTGCTCCACAGAACAGCATATTGTCCTCCATATCTGGGACTTTGTTAGAATCATAAGAAAAAGGAAAGAAACACTCACATGATCTGTTTTTATACACAGCCGTATGATACCCTGAGCCGGTTACTGAAAATAGCCTTAATGCTGTGTGTTCTGTACTATGAAAATTGGTTTAGCTCCCACATAAAATATTCGTCATCTTTAAGATCCTCACCATGACCCATCAGCACAGTCCCACTGATGCTGTGCGCATCAAGCTTATGTAAGTGTGTTAAAATCCTTCCCTAAAAAATACCCAAACATGGAAAAGAATGAATCATTCAACAGTCTTTTTTAATGACTGATGAATATGATTCATATGCAAATGGTGTTATGCTTTAATTTGCAGCTGTAGATTAGTAATGACATACCCTGACTTCTAGATTGTGCGTAATCAGCTTAAGTGGTGGGTTAGTGTCTGTGTGTGTGTTGAGGTGGCACAAGATGAAAGATGCATCACTTCTCTTTTTAGTTGCCTGTATCTATAGCCTGCATGCTTCACTGCTAAACTTTATAAACCATATCTTATTCAACCGAATACTTGACAGCCTGAAGACATGCTTTCAAGTTTGCCCAATGTTTCAGCAGCACCATCTGCAGTTGAGGCTGCTGATAGCACTGGTAGAAATGTTTCGCTTAATACTGAGAGATAAGAGAGCATTCGGAATGTGCATTTGAGTCGTACACATTTAAAACTGAGAGCTTTCTTTTCCTGCTGTGTTTCAAAGCAGCTTTCCCCCATACTGCTGAATGGCTGGAGTCGGGCCCTCACCTTGTCATCTTGGGGTCCCATATAACCACATCAGCATCCGAGTTCTTGGCAATGCGGCCTTTCTGCGGGTAGAAGTTGAAGATTTTCGCTGCGTTGCTGCTGGTGACAGCTACAAATCGATTCTCGTCCATTTTGCCGCTGTGCTGAGGGGGGGAAATGCACAAAGGGGCCGATTTGAGTAAGGGGCCACAGTGGATGACAACAAAATACAGAATTAGCAGACCAAAGGTCAGCGCCTAACTGTGCAGCAGGCAACTAATTTACGCCTAAATATCATCTAATGTGTGATGTGTAAGCACTGTTGCATGTGGTAAATCTTTCCAGTGGCCTTGGGGCAGCCGGGTTGAGGAAAATGCAGCATCTGCTCTCTGCAGCAATCGGCAGCTCCCACACTTTATTACCTTTTCTGTTTGTATGATAGAAAAAAAGACTTCAATGAAGTACTATTAGTACAGGTGTGTATTTATAATAATTAGAGTTGATACATACATATACAAGAGTATACATTTTTAGCCTAACATTAAACTGCATGGTATAAATTCCTGTTGTTGCGTAGATGGGACCCAAGGCATGTCCAATCTTCGTGACTTGATATCAAAAGGGGCCCACGTAGGAGCCTTATCATTTCATGTGACACTGTGCCTAAATGATGCATATTCCCCAATAATTTGGCCTCTATACACGATGAGTAATCAGCCCTCACTATACATCAGAGTATCAAGCTGACGCAGGATATTTGCAAATAGGGACTTTTAATTTTAAAAGCAGAATTTAATTTGTGGTTATGTTGCCATTTGCCCTGTTTTCTGCATCTTTTTCTATTCAGCCCACTGCAGCACCACTGCAAATTGTGTAATTACACAGATAATGACAGGAAGCTGCATAATATCTGTTGCTAGCAGCTCACACTTCTGCTGTTTAAGACTCAGCGTTGACTGATGAAATTTGATGAAAATTCATGTGATTAGGACGTACCACTCCTTTCTCCCAGATGACAGACATCCTGTCCTCCACTCCATTCACTCCGTTGGGGATCTTGGTGAAGTCGTCTTTGCCAAGAGCCTTCTGGCACACAGAGAAGGTGCAGTTGTCTGTCCCTGTCACGCTGAGATCATCACTAGAACATTTGACAGATAAACACATTTATGGATGAATGAAATAGTCCATTCTGGGATGAACAAATAAAATACAGAACAAATACTAACAGTCATAATTATTTAGTCATCATTGAGGCTTACTTAATATGCAAATTAGTCAATTTGCGTAGATTCTAGCCTTTATTACATTTCCGCGTCAGCTTCACCATCTTTTCCTCTGCCCCCCTTCAACAGTCTTATCAGAACAAATTGCTCCTAAACATAAATGTTCAATTACAAATAAAGACATTTCACTAGCACAGATGTTTTTCATCTGTGATGACATTACTGGTTGGTTGCTACATTTTTAGTTCCACCTACTTGGCCAGTAGGTCCATGAGGTACCCAGGGGTGCTGGGGTCAGGTCTGAGGGGAGGACCCATGACAAAAGCAGCAGCATGGGCCCACTCTTTGTGCCAGTAGTGAGTACCGTCAGTACCCAATCCAGCTGCAATAGGCTCCCCGAACACCACACGCCCTGTAGAGAGAGAAAAACACTAAATAAATAAAAAAATTAAAGTTGTTAGAAATTTCTCTTTGTACTGTTTCAGGGGTCACATGATGACACCTGCTGCTAAAACTTCAAAAACAACCTTGGGTTCAGAATCTTTTCAAAGGTTTTTCCACCAGGACAAGAAGAAAAATCATGCGGAGATGTTTTTTTAAACATGAAAAAGAAAACACCATATTTGAACACTGATTCTGGTTCTGGTCCTTAAAAGACCATGTAGGGCCATCATCTCTCAACCTGGCCCTACTTCAACAGCAGGTGACAGCAAGCCCACACTCACCATCTCTGCGGGCATTAGACACCACCTTGGCAGCTGATTTGCTCATGACATGAACCACATACAGCGGGCAGTTGGCGGCGTGGGCGATGGTGATGGCCCTCTGGGTGGCCTCTGCCTCCACCTCCTCCGGCCGACACAGCTCATGGCCCTCGGGCCCCGTGATGCCCATAGACAGCATCTTCTTAGCCCCCTGTCGATTCCCAGCAGGGATGGGGACAACAAGGAAGCACAAAGGTTAAAGGAGATGGAAGGATAACAACAGCACAGTATCTGTAACAGAGAGGGATCAGACTATAACTAATACAGCTATTAACTAAAGTAATATTACAAGAAACATGGGAAGACACAAACAAGTCAAAGTAGTGCTTTAAAAACATGTTAACCTCTGTGTTTTGTTGATATTGGCACTACCGCTTTATTGTTTGGGGTCCCACGGACCCAATATGCATATGTATAAAAATGACAATAACTGCACAATGAAACCTTTTTTTTTAAATTATTTTACTTTAAATATTCTTTGACCTTTTAACATTCCAATATGTAGAAACGTATTAAAGTAGTGACTCTTTCCTTTGCCACAAACTGGGTTTGCACATTTGATGAAAATGACAAAATACGGAGAGGATAATAGAGCATTTATATTACAAAAAATAAGGGAATCTTTAATTTTTTGTATGTTAAAGTTTCCCATAAATGCATTCACAGACATGTACAAACGCCCAAGATTGTGTTTTTACTAATCTGTAGGTGAATTAGACCACAGAGACTCTGTTAGAGCTATGAACAAAGTGCACCAATCACAGATAGAGAAAATATGAAATAATCAATTGTAATAACAGAAGTAATGCATCATTCTCTGTAGCAGACTTCTGAAATATGTCATGTTTAGAAGCAATTCTCATGAAATTAGGAACATCAATCTGATAGCAAATTGTTTTGAGCAGTCAGAGAGGGCCCCAAAGACCCCAAACAGAACATTCGGGTTAACTATACAAATTCATCCTCACTACACCGTTAAGACATTTCCCACTGATAGCATTAAGCATGTGCTCCCCACCATTAGAGACCCAAGTTTCCCTTTTTTAGCATTTGCTGCTTCCTAGTGGTGAATTGTTGTCATGGCATTTGTCAATGCAAGATGAATTGGAAAGCATACAAATACATTTCTGAGAAATAATTGGCCATTTTGACTCGTCAAAGCAGCAAAACAAATGTGTAGAAATATTAATTATAACTCCATTCCATTGTAGCATTTCAAGTTATGCCAGTGAGCCATTATTCACGATACAGATGTTGTGGAATCACTACGTTTAAATGGAACAGGTGTTATTACTGGTGTTTTTCTGGATATGATGTAAACTATCTGCAGTGAAAAAGACCTACTATTGTAACCATCCAAAATTCTTCTGGTTAAAAGTTTGCTGCATTAGACATCAGACAGAACAAAAGCTGCTTTTCGTATATATCATCACATTGTTTTCCTAAACATTTGCTCTCATTGCTACTATAGATGGTGTCAGTGAACCTTAAACCACCTGCATTTTTGCAGGAAAAAAATCAACATGTCCCTTCATCCAGAGTTTGCAGAAATTCTCAAATTTTAAAGTGCAATTTCTGCATTGCTGTTACTGAACCTATTCCTATTACTATTACTGCCACAGTGTCTATTCTTCTATGACAGGATGCAGGATCTTGCATGGAGAAACACTTAGCTTCCATCGTGGTTAAACATTAATCAGTTTTTGTTTCTGGACTGTGGTGTGTTTACACATAGACATTATTTACCTGACCTGCCCTAACCAAGCCCTTTCTGATAAAGGACTGCAGCATGTATGCTTCTGTGATTGGGGAACGGCTAGGGCTGATTTTGTTCAGATTTGAGCATTGTTAGTGTCACTGTCCGTGCTAGGAAGAATGACCGTCGTTTTCTATTAGCTACACTTTGAATATTTACCAAATAGTAAACCATACAGCTTTAGCTTAGAATGGAAAAAATGGAAACTAATAATTTAAGTAGTATTTGTTAATCCTGGTATAATGAATTGTTTGCACTGCAAAAAGTATCAGTATCTTAAGAGTTCTCTCATACAATATAACAAAAATGGAGAAAAACGTCACATCAGATCTTCCAGTTAATAAACGTATATCTATATTTATCTTACTGACCTCTGCAATTAGGTCTCCATTCTCAGCATGCACCTGAGCTATAGCTCCGATCTCCTTACACTGGGAGAAGGCAGCATATAGCTCAGAGTCCTCCAGCATGAACACATCTTTATAGGCCATAAACATCTTAAAGGAATTGACTCCCTTCTCTTTGGTCAGTGTCTGCATCTCTTCTTTGACCTGGAGAAGAAACAGGTATGGAGACACACATGGATAGTAGCTCTGAATAGCTTTGGGGTGTGGGGGGGCTATGAGAAATTGGTGCCTTTAACACAAAACAAATGCAAATCCTATTTGACATTTTTATTCTTAACAGACACTTCTGTTTGCTGCCATTTCTGACCCCAATTTATTTGTGAATTGGCAAACACAATAGTAATCTCACACTTTGCCAAGATAAGTTTTTATTTTCTGTACTTATACACAATCATCTGCTTATTCACCTTGTCACTCCACCACGTAACGGCCACGTGCAGCGAGTAGTCACAGCAAACTTTGGGGTCAGCTGTCTTACGCCAACAGTCATAGGCCTCCAGGAGAGACTTTCCCTTTTGGGGGATGACAAAGTCCATGATCATCGTGGTCCCTCCTGCTACAGCGGCCTGGTGAAACACACAAATTATCAAACGGATGCAAGTTAAAGATTTATCAGCACAGTGTTACACAGGTTACTCAATACCCATGTAAAAAAAATAACTGATATGTTTAGCAAACCTATATCACTGAGTGTAGAGCAGTCAGGAACGAAAATCTTAAACTAAAACATTATATAGTTCATTATGATGGACAAAATAACAGGAACAACACACAGTCTATCAGAGTAGCCCTGCATAGTCATGTGAAGCTTACACTGCTGGGTTTCTGACAGAATGATGGCCCTACTGACACTGTAGTTTAAGATGTTGTTCGGTCAGTGTTGGTGAGAATTTGCTGTGACTGCGACACATTTGTTTCCCCTTGCCACATCACAACATTTCACAGTGTTGTGACTGATGCATTCAGACAGCAGCTATCCGGCCTCTTTGTTCCTCTGCAAGCTGCCTCATGTCGCCCGACACCTCAATTATAAAACATGTGATTGTCACATTTCTAATAAAGCTGACACAAGCTGCTATCTGGTGTTTGATTTGGTATGACTCACTTGTATAGCTGCCTGTAAAACTGTAATGTACAGGGTGTGGACATCAAACAGTAAAGTGATATATTTTGTTTTAGGTTATTTGCCAGATTCTCCAGATTATGTCTGTGTCCTTTGCCAGAAATGTAATTTAAGTCAGACAAGTTCCTTCAACAGCCTTCAAAATAAAACGCAAACAGAGACCTAGCACATTATATAAGGAATGTGTTTCGCACAAACTCCTTTAAATTACTTTTAACCATCATTAAAGCTGTAAAATAAATACCAACAATCATCCTACAATTTTGAGGAACTATTTTTCAAATATTTAAATTTTCTGATACTTCAGAGGCGAATATTGTATTATTTTATAACTTTAGTTGCTAGGTAATTTGGAGATTCAGACTGATACAAACTATAATCAGCTAATAAATGAGAATGTATTATTATAAGTCAAGATAAGATTAGACTTTATTGATACCAGCGGCAGTGGTGGAATGAAATTCACAAATGAAACAAACGAAATTAGCCACTTTACCAGCTGCAACATTAAA